TTTTGCAGAGCGCTCTGCTCGTGTTTATGTGTCATAATGGAACGGCCTTAGGGAGGTCATTCTTCAACAAAAGCCATGGTTCAGTCAGGGGAGCTGCATCTGAATAACCGGTCACCTTTGGGGGTAACAGAGGGAGCCCTTAGCCTCAGCAGCTGTGCACCCCTCCGCCCAGCGGGAACAGAGTCGACTGCGGTCAGCACCGTCTGGACCCTGCTGGGGAGCCAGTCCCCCAGGACCTCACAGTGTCCGTTTGCAATGCCCGGCCACACCTGCGCCGCTCACCTGGGCTCTGGGGCCAGTCCCAAGGTGATGTCATGAATGCACACCTGGATGCAGGAATGTTGCCCTTTCTAGAATGTTCTGTGAGTCAGGCCAGTGTCCAGAGTTCTCCCCAAGCCCTCCCAACGGAGACGAAAGAGGTCAATGCTGGGGCCCACCAGGGGCTTCGTTACCACTGGGACCCGCGCAGAGGAGGTCTTCAGGGATCCTGCAGCCTGGCGCAGAGCAAGTCCTCCAGGCTGTGTGAGGTGTGGAGTCCAGCCCACACGCTGCCCCCCACCCCCGCCCCACACTCGCGCCCGCCGCCACCCCTCCCGTGCTCTCTCTCTCCCACCTACTCAGCAGAGTGGATGGAAGCGCCGACCCGTGACCCTCGGCCCTTGGGGCTGCGCCTGTCCTGATTCCTTACCTCTGTGGCTGTGGGCATGTCATGTAAGGCTCCTTTCCTAAAAAGGTGAGGACCGGCGCCCGCTGTGGGCTGTAGGAGTCTGTGCCCCTGAGCTGCAGCAGCAGGTATCTGGGGCACACCTGAGCCAGCCCACCTGGCCTCTCCCTCCTCCAGCGAGTGGCTCCATCCCGCACTGAGCGCTGGCCCTGGAGGCCCAGGCAGCTGCTAAAGAGGAGGAAATCTGAGGTCGCTGCATCCTGCCCCAGAACCAGCTGGCCTTGCGGATTCCAGAACTTTCCGCGGCGGCCGGCTGGCCACGGGGCCAGGAAGCGGAAGGTGCAGAAATAGCAACGTGTGGCCAGGCCGAGGCTGCTGTGCCCCATGTGGGGGAGGGGCGCCAAGGTGGAGGGAGGAAGCTGGGGTGCAGAGGAGAGGGTGGGAGGGCCAGCTCAGCCCCCAGGCCACTCCTGCACCACAGTCACTCCCAGGGACACCCCCTTTTTCTGGCAAAAATTGAGAACCAGGAGCTACAACACGCTAGGAGTGTGACCCTCAGCGACAGCCCAAGACACGAATCCTTGGGTGGAGTCAAGGGCTTCACAGTCGCCACACGCCAGCTGCCCGGCAGGCGGCAGCTGAGGGAAACTGAGTCCCGGAGGTGCGGAGTGGACAGGCCCAGGACAGGCCTCTCCCAATTCTGAGCTCTGGCTGGACAGCAGGAAGGGAAACCTCGGCTGTGAGCCTGGGGGGCTGGCCGATGGGCCCAGGCGCCCTGTAGAGTGCACCTTCCGGGCGGTGGCAGACAGGACCCCAGCCCCGTCGCCGCACATGTGAATGGCCGCTGGTCTTCCTGCCGGGCGGCTGTGGGCTGGGTGGGCAGCCGGCTGGCGTGTGCAGGCTGGGCCGGGCCGTGAGCTCCTGCAGCCAACAAGCCCCGGTTTCCTGTCCCCCGCCTGAGAGGATGGCTGTCCAGGACACGGCCCTCCAAGCCCCCTCTCCGCCAGCCGGGCCCCAGAGCAGGCAAGGGACAGAAGGGGCCTCAGGGCCTCCCGCTGCCCAGGAGGCTGGGGCCTCCTTCGACCGGATTCTGAGAAAACCCCCAGAGACGGCGACATCGGAAGCAGGCCCTGCTCGTCTTGCTAAACAATTTCTCCAGGTCTCTCAGCAAGAGCCCAGCCTTCCCAGTCAGGGCCGAGCCGATAGGCCCAGAGCCCTTTGTTGTTGTTTTCGCTCAGAAATATTAAAAGAATAAAAATAAAAATAAAAGGTGAAGTGATGTGTCTTAGCTGACACCCGTTTCCGCTCCTCAGGAAGCCCGGCCTGAGCAGGGCCGGAGCGACGTTTGCCACAGATTGTGCAAAGGAATTCCAGGCGCCTGCGGCCTCCGGGGCAGGAAGGGTGGGAGAAAGGTCCAGAATTAGCATTTCCCCAGGACCTTTCAGATTCAAGGGCTGAACACCGACCTCAGACCTTGGGGTGTCACAGCACATGCTCCGTTTCCACGGCCTTGTTTTCCCGTGAGGCCCACACGTTGGGAGAGCAGGGTCTGCTCTGCGCAGAGGGCCCGTGTCCGAGGACTGGCCTGGACAGTGCCCTCTGGCCTCCTCTGGGCCCCCTCCCCTTGGCCACCAGCCTCTGGCTGCCCTGCCCTGATCCGCGTTCCCTCGAGGACAGTGGGCTGAGCCTCCGGGGCTCGTGGCTCATCGCGTCCCCTGGCCACCAGGCACAGGCGCCTCCTGGCCGGTGAGCGGCCCTTGGGGGCATGCTGCGTGCAGATGGCACCAGCAGCGTGTGCTCGCCCTTGCAGACGCCGGGAGCCTCCCTGCCTCTCTCAGCTCCGGGCTCCAGGCGCTCGGGCGCCGCGGCCCTCGCTCCTTGGCCTCTGTGACCACTGGGCCTTTCCCCTGTGGTCACACCTGTGCCAAATTGCTTTCCTCCTTCTCCTGCAGAGGCATTGTTTCGGATTTAGGCCCCACCTGAATAATCCTGGATGTGCTCCGAATCTAAACGTACTTAGACCCTTCTCGCGAATAAGCCCACAGTCACAGGTTCCGAAGGACAGGCCTGTGAGGGTCTCGCTACCGCCGGGGAGGGGAGGGATATGGGGTCAGATTTACAAAAGGCTAAAGCTCCAAAAACAGCTCTCAGTCTGCGGAGGCTGTAGAATCCAGTAGCGTGGCCGGCGGCTTCTAAACCGCGGTTCGGAGCCGGAAGTCAGCAGCCAGGGTGTGGGCATAGTCGGCTCCGGCGAGGCCGGCCTCTGGGTTACAGATGTGCCCCACCCTGGTGTGCTCGCCCTTGGCAGGGAGGAAACTCTGGGGTCTCTTTCATACAGGCACCTGCCCCGTTCTTGAAGCTGCACCCTCAGGACCTACTCAGCAACCAAAGGCCCAGCTCCAAGTGCCATCACACTAGGAGTCAAGCTTCGACAGACGGACTTTGGGGGACACAAACATCCAAGACAGGCCTATGGAATGGGGCTTCCCCCAGGGGTGCCAGCATCTGGGCCCAGTGGACTCACTGCAGTCTATCCCCACTGAGCGGGGGTCTGTCTCAGCCTCTCTGGGTTGCGCTGTCTGTTTGGGACACTTCCCAGGACAGAATTGGCTTAAAAGTGAGGTTTGGAAGCCCCAAAGAGCACTGAAGACCTCAAGCTGTAAGGATGGCAGAAAGGCAGGCAGAGGAACGTGATTTGCTACTTAAAACGTGTCATCATTAAGGTTTCCTTTCTTATCATGTCATCTTCAAAATTCCAGTTAACAGAAGCAGCAGCTGCCAGGGGTTATCACAGACTTTCAAATGTACAAACCATGTTTTAAAATGAGAAAACTGGATGCTGGCAAGATCGTGATGAAGCTGGGGTTCTCGTGTCTTAACTTGACGTGTGCAGAGCACACGGTTGCAAGACTCAGGGGTCGCCGGCACTGCGGCCACGTCGTGTCCGTGGCTACTGCACGCTGGGCCTGCCTCCCAGAAACCAACACAGAAATACATGCCGGTGCCCCGACTCCACCCTTAAATATCTATGGCAAGGAAACATGACCACCCGCCCCCCACCCAGTCCCCTGCCATGCTTGGCACCCCACTGGCATGTCATCATCCTTGTCCTGTGTTTGCAGCTCCATCAGCGCTCATCCCGCCCAGCCCTCCTGCCCAACCTATTTGAGGGAATAACTTACAGACACGCAAGCACCTATAATGGCAAGTGCGTAGTGGCTCTCTTCACACCCCCCAAACTGGTAACAATCCGAATGTCTTTTGGCTGGGAGTGGATGAATAGAGTGGTGCATCCATTCAATGGAAAACTACTCAGCCATGAAAAAGCTCCAGCTAGTGATGCAGGTGACAGCAGGGACAATCCTCACATACATCCTGCACCATGAAAAACCAGACTCCCAGCCTGCATCCTGTGTGGTTTCCTTGCATGACATTCTGGAAAATGCAAAATCACAGAACTAGGAGGAACAAGCTTTGTCAGGAGGTTTCACTCTAAAAGGAGATCTTTGTGGCCCTGGAACTGCCCTGCACCTTGATTATGGTGTTGATTACACAACTCGTATAACTGTGTGCTTTGAAAGGCTGAAGCGGAGGTCCCTTGGATGGCGGTGAAAGGCCCTGGAACTTTGGTGGACGGTCCTGTGTGGTGTGACGTGCTCCAGAAACTTAGATACGATAAACCAAGAAAACTTCCTTTAAAATAATAAAAAGGGGGCCTCCCTGGTAGCACAATGGGTTGAGCGAAGCACTGTGAAGCTGTCCACAGCCTCTGCAGCGCGGGTTCGATTCCCAGCCAGCCAGGGAGAAACCCACATGGTGGGATAGACCTCTCCTGTCTCGCCCGCTGCTCCCCTCAGCCGGGTTTTCGGTCCATCTGCCTGTTCTGTTCCCCGCTCTGTCTCTGGTGAATCCTCTCACATGCCCTCTTCTCTGGCCTGTACCCCAGCTCTTGTATAAATAAATAAATCTTAAAAAAAAATGAAAAGGCTGAATTACATCGCAGGTCAATTCAACCCTTATAAAAATGTTTTAAAGGGCTCATATATTTTTAAAAGATGGGTACAAAGTTGACATGGGTACACATTTGTTGGCATAGAGAAGTTTCTTTGTCTTGGGATAAATAAACTAGGACCCATTCAGACAATGGAATTTTATTCAGCACTAAAAGGAGATGAGAGCTCTTGCCATGAGGAGACATGGCAGAAACGTATGTGAGCCCAGCACATTTAAGTGAGGGCCTCCCTGGTGGCGCAAGGGGTTAAGATGCAACCATGAAGCTGTCTGCAGCCTCTGCAGCACGGGTTCGATCCCCAGCCAAGGAGCTACCCACATGGCGCAGCTGCTCCCCTCAGCAGTGTATTTCAGTCAGTCTGCCTGTTCTGCTTCCCACTCTGTTTCTGGTGGATCCTCTCACCCCCGCATCGCTGGCCTGTACCCCAGCTCTTGTATGCATAAATACATAAATCTTTAAAAAAACCCCACAAACCTATGTTAAAAAAATAAAAATAAATAAATGCACAGTGAGTGCCGCGACGCTCCAGTGCCAAGTGACGGAAGCCCCCGGAAGACCAGCTGTTGCCAGGTGCTTGGGGGGTGCAGGGCAGCTGTTGCCAGGTGCAGGGCAGCGAGACTGATCTGCATGGGGGCGGCAC